CGCGGGACTGGGCAGCGGCTGCGGCGGCGGCGGGGGCTTGGCCGGCGGCGGCGGAGCGGCCTCGGCGCTGCAGCAGCTGTACATGCCCTGCGGGGGCCGCGAGAGAAGCAGGGTCAGCAAGGGATGCCGGAGACTGCCTGCCTTCCCTCCGTCCCTCCCATCTCTTCCGCACCTCGACCCAGGTCTCTTCCACTTGTAGGCATCCCCGCCTGGCTCCCCCCCCCGGCCCCCGCTCTGCCCTCCTGCCTCCCTTTCTCCCCCCTACCCTGGAGAAAGCCAGCAGGAAGTCCATGCGGTGGGTGGGCCCCAGGCAATGACGCAGGCGCCAGTACACCAGGTGCTCCCAGGCGAAGACCAGCAGGGAGAGGCCCATGGCCACCAGGAGCATGTAGAAGACACCTGCCATGTTGTCGATGTCCAGCTTACTGCTCATCACCTCGATTTTGTCATTGTGGCAGATCCCAGAGAGCCACAGCCGCTCCAGCATCTCGATCTCATCTGGAGAAAGGGGGGCGGGGGGGGGCTGTCATAGGTCACCTTCCATGGGTACCGTCTCATAGGAGTCTAGGCGCCCAGCCCCCTCTTCCCTCAGACCCTGGTGTCCTGATCCTCATCCCTTCCTTTGCCCAGGACCCAGGGCTCTAGTCCCTCACGCCCCACCCCGGAGGCATCCCTGTGTGCAGCGCACCATCCCCCAGGAACTGCAGCAGCGCCAGGTCGATGGGCCGCTTCCACCGGGAGCCCTTGTGCAGGGCGATGCCATAGCCCGTTGTGGCAAAGACCTTCCCCGAGCCGATGGTGACGAGCTTGCAGCCCTCATCCTTGCGGGCCATGTAGTTGAGCACAGCTGCATCATAGATGAAGGCGTCCAGCTTCCTGGGGGCCAGGGGGCATGAAAGGCAGGGTCAGTCCCACCCAGATGCCCTCATGGCCCAGCCCAGCACCCCCCTCACCCCTGACCTCCAACTGCTCCAAATCCTGACCAGTGGTAAACTCTTGAGCAAGTCACTGTACTTCTTCTTGGTGCCTCGGTTTCGATTTGTAAAGTGGGGATAACAACAATACCTCCCTTCCTGGTCATTCCAAAGGGAAGATGGCGCTTGGTGCCAAGAAAGTGCTGGAGACATGTTAGCTGTGACTGATATGTTCAGCCTTCACGGAAGCCCTCCCCAGAAGGTTCTGCATACTCCTCCATTTTATAGGGGAGGACTGAGGCTCAGAAAGGGGACTCATACACAGAGTAATAATGCTAACGATCACTTATATTGTGCTAGGCACTGTTCCAGCCACCGACATAACTCATTCAATCCTCTCAACTTTCCCGTGAGGTAGAAACGGTTATCTCCATCATTCAGATGGGAAATGTAGGCCCAGACACGCATCTTACTCTGCTTGGGTTCTCCCACTAGGCCCTAATTTCTAAACCTTGATGGGAAGACAAGCAGGGAGATGGAATGAGTGCTCACAGATGGATACATTGTGGCACATGCCGCCTGTCACTTCCTTCACACATAGTTCTGTGATTATTTGATTAATCTCAGCCCCTCGATTAGACTGTGAGCTCCACTCAAGCAGGATCCAGCTGGGATCCACTCCAGGCCATGACCCAGCACAATTCCTGGCACATACAAGGTGGTTGTAAATACTTGTGGAATAAGTGAATGAGTGAATAAATAAATCCATGGCGGGGAACACTGGGTAACTATTCTATGAGACAAGATACATGCCTATGATCTGACATGAAGATGTCCAGGGTATATCCATGAGGAAAAAAAAAAGAGTCTGGGAATCCCATATACAGCATAACTCCACATTATTTTTTTTTTTAAATGGTGCATTTTGTGGGGTGCAATTTTGGTCATCTCGACTGCAGACACCAGGCCAGTTCTTAGAGGGAGGTCTCTGTCTTGCCCAGCATTGTCCGAAAGAACACTCCGCAATGATGGGCATGGCCCTTCTGCGCTGCCCAACGTGGCGGCCACCAGCCACACAAAAACGTGACCAGTAAGCCCAAGGGCAGAACTTTAAATTTTAATTAATTTAAATGTAAATAGTCTTGGACAGCGAAGGTCTGAGGAAAACAAGAGAGATCAAAGCCTGTGGCTGGAAGCTGGGTCGTGGAGAAGGCAAAGGAGTTTTGGAGCTGTTTGCCTATCTGTGGGTATAAATGCCTCCGGGACCCCAAATCTTCAGTCAAGCCCTGTCCACACTCTCACACCGGAGCACACAAATGCCTTGTTGCATTTCTGCAACATGACTGGTTGCAGAGAAATGAAGGAAAAGGACAGAATTAGTCCACGGACCCCAAATGGGGAGACAGTCAGCAGATTCCCCACACTGAATGGACTCCAGTCGAAGCAAAAACTTGGGGGTGGGGCAAAGAATTTGAGGCTCTGGAGAAGGAGCAGAAACTCCTCCAGAAACTGGGAGACCAGTCACCATCCCATGGTTGGAGAATGGGGTTTGAATTAATTTTATATGGCTCCTAACAGGCAGGGAGATCCCAGCTGACATCTGGAAACATATATATAGAGAGAGAGAGGCAAGAAAAATATCACAACCAGCTGCGGGCACCGCTGCCTTGTAGGCAAACTATAATTTCTCTCTAGGTTTCTCTTTGTTTAGGAAAATGCCCTTGGGAGCAAAAGGTGAATTGCTTCCCTGGTTTAAGTGGAAAGAGCTGGGGGTTTCCAGAGTCAGGCTGAAGAGGAGGGATGGAGGGGCTGAGAACGAGGATAAAACGGAAGGAGGGTATCCAGAGGTCCTCGAGGGGCACAAGGGAGAGGTATGTGGGGTGCGGGCGGAGAGACCGGGGGCATTGCAGAGAGGGCCAAAAATCAAGGCTTCCAGTGGCGGGGAGGTTTGAGGGGCTTTCAGGAAGAGGGGATCTAAAGAGCCTTCCCTTTTAATCCTTTGCTCAGTCCTTATGCAATATAATGCCTACCTCCCTTCCCCTACCCCCTACTCCCTATCCCCTGCCGTTGTCACTAAACCTCTACTGAGACTCAGACACATTCCACAGCCTTTGTTTAGGCTTAGGTTTGGGAAAAATTAAAAGTCCTTGCATCTGTCTTTGCTTTCCTGTTTATTCCTGCCCTGTCGCCACAGGGATCTTAACATGTAGTCAGCTTCCGGTTCCTCCTCGGCTCACTACCCTCCCCTGGCTCCCCACTTCACTCAGTAACTGGAGTTACTTCGCATTACAAGGCCCTACAGCACCGAACAGCCCTGGATCCCTCCTACCCCCCTGCCCTCATCTCCCACCCATGACTTCCTTGCTCACCCTGCTCCAGCCACCTTGGCCTTCATGCGCAGTTCCTGGATGGCTCCAGCACCCTCCTGCCTCAGGGCCTTGGCACTGGCTGTTCCCTCTGCTGGAACATTCTTCCAGATAGCTGCCTGGATCTGTCCCTCACTTCCTTCAAGTGTCTGCTTAAAAGACACCTTCCTGAGCAACTTAGTTAATACTGCAACCCGTGGCCTTTCCCCCAGGCCTCCCAAACTCACTCACCCAGCTGTATTTTTGTCCATAGCACGTATCCCCTTGTAACTATAATGTGTTCTTGGTTATTAAGTTTATGGTCCATCTCCTCCTTTAAATTCCATGAGGGAACAGGTCTTGTCTGTCTGGTTCACTGCTGTATCCACGGGGTCTAGAATAGCACCTGACATACGACAGGTGTTTCATAAAATATAGCTCAATGGATGAATTCAGGCTGCTTCAAGATGGGCATTCTCTGGGCCAGGCATGGAGCTGGGAGGCAAGACTTCATTAATATGGAAGAGATGCCAAGAGGTTTTTCTCCATGGAAAAAGCAAGATGAGAACAGTGTGTGCTTTCAGTAAGGAATGCATAAAGAGGTGTGTATGCACACATAGTTTAGGTGATCAGAGAGAAATTAAAAAAAAAATAATGCTTACTTTATGGAAAGGGGACTTGAGGTTTCCTTTTTTGCCCTTTCTGTGTGAGTGAGAAATTGAACATCTCTCACCAAATGGGCTTCCAGAACTGGCTGGGAGGAGAAGCCGTGTTTCTGTATTTCTTTTTAAGAGATGTATTTCCTTTCTCTTCTTGTGAGCTTGTTTGCCCTCTGTGGTAGGATGAGACCACATTTGGTGTGTGAGCCAGACAACACCATGTGAGGTTGCCAATTCCCTTCTACCCCTCTGTAAGGATGGAATTTTCTGGTGCTGTCCATGGTGGTAACCACTAGCCACATAGAGCTATTTGAATTTGAATTTTTAATTAAAATTTAAAAATTCAAAAAAATTAAAAAATTCAGTTCCTTAGTCACACCAACCACATGTCAAATGACCAGGAACTGCTTGGCTACCACATGGGACTGCACAGATCTAGAACATTTCTCTCATTGCGGAGAGGGCTATTGGAGACCAATGCTCTAGGAACACACATGTGTCTGTCTCCCAGACTGGAATGGAAAGTCCAAGAGAGCAAGGACTTCGATTTGTTCACTACCATACCCTCCGTGCCTAGCCCAGTGCCTGGTGCAAGGAAATCTTAATAAATACTTATTGGATGGATGGATGAATGAATAAGTTCTTTTTTTAAGTTTATTTTATTTATTTAAGTAATCTACACCTAATGTGGGACTTGAACTCACGACCCCGAGATCAAGAGTCACATGCTTTCCCAACTGAGCCAGCCAGGCGCCCCTGAATGAATGTCTTTTAATTTCACATCATTAAGGGTTATTTTGTCAGGGAGATCGATTCAGTGTTTGTTTTCCTTGTTCCTCGCTACATTAAAAACATTACATATATAATATGCATATGACATATACACAAGCATACATATGTATTACATATACATGTATACGACTAAGATAAAAGACAGAAAAATACTGACATTGGGAATTCCACAACAAAAATGGTCCAGACAGATCATCTACTGTGAAGTTCATTCAACAACCCTGCTCATGTAATCACAGGCCCACCACTTCTGGAGTTTTGGACTTCCACTCCCAAATATGTAGAGACCACTGAGGATTACTAGACATCAGTAAAGTCTCAATAAGAAAGATAGAAACAGGGCGCCTGGGTGGCTCAGTTGGTTAAGCGACTGCCTTCGGCTCAGGTCATGATCCTGGAGTCCCGGGATCGAGTCCCGCATCGGGCTCCCTGCTCGGCAGGGAGTCTGCTTCTCCCTCTGACCCTCCCCCCTCTCATGTGCTCTCTCTCTCTCATTCTTTCTCTCAAATAAATAAATAAAATCTTTAAAAAAAAAAAGATAGAAACAAAAGCAACAAATGGGGTGGGGGGACTTGGAGGAAACAGATTATGTAGAGAGGAAAAAATGCAAAAAACCCAACAACTACCAATATCACCAGAGAAACAAGACAAGATATTCAACTTTGAATAGCATATCATAAAACATAGGATACTATCAAATAATACTATAAAATGTACAAAATACTATAAAAATTAAAAGATCAGAAAAAGAGTTCTTAGCAGGGCGCCTGGCTGGCTCAGTTGGAAGAACATGTGACTCTTGATCTTGGGGTTGTGAGTTTGAGTCCCATGTTGGGTAAAGATTACTAAAAAAATAAATAAATAAACTTTAAAAAAGAGTTCTTAGAAATTGAAAATATACTAGCAAGAATGAAAAGCTTAATAAAAGAGTGGAAGATAAGGTTAAGAAAAACTCTCAGGAAGTAGGACAGAAAGATAAAGAGATAGAAAAATAAGAGAGGATGAAAGAGTTCAGGAAGCCCAATATCAAATTAATAAGAGTTCCAGAGAGAAATGGAGGGAAGGGGGAAATCATAATTGAAAGAAATCAAGGAAGTTTCCCAGAATGAATGCCATGAGGATACAACTGAAAGATCCAGTAATGAAAATAAATGAAGATGTTGCTA